TACCAAATTTTAACTTGTCATTGGCACAACCAGTTGGGAACGACAAAAAAGTGTGTCGCTTCGATTGAAATTTATGTCTAGATATTTTAATTGACTCCTGTATGAAAAAGTTACATGGTTTGGGGGGAGGGGAGAGTTAAATTAAGGATAGTCACGTGTTCACTGAGGCCCCGCCCCCTATATCTGCATTTGTATGTGAATCATCCCACCCCCCGCCTTACATCTTGTCAATAAAAATCTACAGATGACGCATTCTGAAGCCAGATAATTATGTTTCGTAGGTGAATGCTTTAACTGTGGGAAGTGGTCAGGAAAAGCTCAGATGAAAGACGCTTTACTGAAATTTTACCTGCAGCCTGGGTCAAACCATTTTGGCGCCTATTTCACCGGTATATAATATTGATCTAACCTGACTCAACAAAGTTCAGGTGGTCTCAAAAGTAGGTCTCAACTCATAACTTCCCATATACATCATCATATCATGTCATATGTTGTAAAACAAGGTTAGGCAAAATTAAAACTGCTTAAGACCTGGGCCGAGAAATTAGCACTTCGCGTGCGAACTCGCACACAATAATTATGGTGCATTAACAACGGTCATTGACTTCTAGCACTACTTGAAATTTTGCTTCACAGGGCACCAGTAAAAAATATATATATATATATTTCTAGAAAAGAAAAACAGTAAGCAATATTGAAACAGACACGTATAAATGTCCTTCCATTACTGGACTTTTGCAATAATCCACACAACTGTGGGGATGAGAAAGGGGGTGGGGGGTGGGGGGGGGGGAGGGGGGGGGGAGCCTTCACGATCCCCCTTCAAACCAAGTCAACGCGTCAGGCATATGGAGCCCATTATTGTGACTCCTGCGTGCGCAAATCAGCAGCTTGCTCCAGCTTAACGCTGATACGTAACATATAGATTAATGATACGTAACATAAAGACTAATGGTATTATTCCAACTATTACAGAAATACTTGAAAACTACAAATTCCTACCGGATATGTATAGTGCCTGTTATCTTCGGACCACGTACACACATAGCGGTGTTGGAAGCCAATTTTGGGAGTTGAAAGCGGTGTACAATTTAGAAAAAATAGCAACGGACGGGGAAAGATGACAGATATTTTGAAGTACATGTACAGCGCCATACTGGTAGGTCGACTGTGGACTAGGACTTCGACGTAACGTTTAATTACTTATTAACAGTATCCGTCTGTCTTAAAGGAGTAACACGACCTCTTACCCCCACCCCTCCCCCTACAGGTGTGGTTAAAAAGTGGGGGTGGGCAGATAAGTTTACCCCCCTTCCTCCCTCCCCCTCCCCGACTCCTACGCATATGAGTCATTTCTGTTATTCCCATCATGCCTTCTGGTTTCTGTGAGTATTGTCATCCATCCTGCAGTAAATTACCTCGAGGCTATTGTGTTTAAATATGGAATCAACTATTCAGGAGGCATTTTAATTAAAAAAAGCGAAAGGGGGGAATTATGCGATATTATAGGATAAAGATAGAGAACGCAATTGTGATGAAAATGCGGTGAAAGTCAAGCATTCTTTGTGAGGGAGAAAGCGCAGATATTATTCATTGTTATTAGATTCTTTTCTTGATACGAGCACCTTTTGATAATATGGCTATGATCTAAAAATACGATATAAAGAGAGAGCATATTTATAGATGTAGAATTATAGATATACTTATGAAGAGAAAAGGGAAAATGTCAGTGTCAGCGTGTTGACTATGTGGTTGTCCTAGCAATTCTGATTCTTTTTATCGCTTCTCGTGTTTTTATGTTCAGTTTTTATTAAAAAGGTCTGAATAATCCGTGTAAAAGCGGAGAACAAATTTTGCCAATGGGCTATTGCAAGGTTCAAATAATTATTTTCATTATAGAGGGTGACCTTCCTTTCACATAATACCTCTCTTCAATCATTATCATCATTATCGTTTTAATTTGAAGTCAGCCCCTTGGGCTTAAGTAACACACTGACAGGGGATATGAGCACTATGTTTGAATCTGTGTCGACTACACGTATCTAACATAGTTTTCTTGCCAAATGGTAAAGCTAGGTAAATTTTAAAGCACTGAGTACCTGAAACATGCTTTTATGTTAGCCCGTATATTCCTTCCCATTCTGTAGGAGAATAGGCTTTCTTTCCAGAACATTGTGCTGTCAGACAAAAAAATCGGATCTGTCACATTCGTGCAGCATCTGCCATCGACGCCCTTTCACAGTCCACCTTCATTTTTTGCTAATTTGTAATTGGAGCTATCTTAACATTGCGCCAGCAGCAGTCCAAATGTCAGTGGCAAGTATAAAAAGATCGAAAGGCGATATCACGAACGCTCACTGTCAAGTGTCATGTACATCTGCGGCTCTACTCCCCCACACTTGATCTGCGCTGGAACCACGCGCGCTCTTATTTCAATTGTCCGTTTCCTCATTTCTAAGAACGCAGCGTGTTCAACGATGATAGGTCTTATTTACTTAATACGATATTATTATAGGAGTGATGTTCAATATGAATCAAGCTACCTTCGATGTACATGTAAAAGTCTATGTTTTATGGCCTGCTATTCATCGACTAATACAGGGACTGTATTTCACATATTCGCTACATGTATCATACACGTTAACTATAGCGAGTCTAGGGTTTTACTGCGGTTAAATTGGAGAACTCATGATTTTTCTCGGGATGTTTGGATGTCCGGCACGTTTTGAAAATGCTGAGGGGTGGGTGGGTGGGGTGGGGGTGGGGTGGAGGGGGGGGGGCTTACACAGCGTATCCTAACGTATACATCCAATTATCTCATTTCCACCCTGCTGCCCATCACCTACTCAAAGATTCAGTGACATGGTGACAGTAAGGAAAAGTATTCCACTACCCGTTAAACTCAGGGTGCTATTTGAGTACATAAAACAATGAGAACTGCTATTCTTCAGTCTCCATCATGACGTGTTTTCAGACACATTAACACATTAAAAAGTAACCCAAGGCGGGCAACAAAACATCAAAACACAATCTGTGCCTTTGATTAAATTTCTAATCAGCTACACAATTTTCCACAGAAGCTCACTAGCTGCCTGGCGTCAATATCGTGGCTTTATTCCTGTTGTCATACCCCTTAGTATGTTAGTATTATATTAATTAACGTATCTTGGTAATTAGATCTTTCACGCCTTTTATGAAAAAAGCATGAAACCCTTTTGCATTCGTATACCACTGAGTGCTTGAGAAAGCAACCGACAATTATCTCGACTTACTATCATAACACCGAGGATACCGTCACGACAGCGAGATCCGGGGAATAAAAATCGTGACATTGAAACGTAATGCGCATCTGTTTTATAAATCAAGGTATCATGTTTCCTAGTATCCCGCATACAATGTGAATCGCCAAGATAATGAAAACAATACGTGAAAAAAACCTTACATTTTGCGGGTAAGACCGCAGTGGTTTCTTGGTGGTATATGGGTTCTAGCATAGTAGGGTATCCTTTTTTTTAATTAAGGTCTTGATCAGGCCCTAGACAAAGAATGCCACTGGAATACTTCACGTTGCAAAATATAAATTCATCAATAAAATTCTCGGAGGATCTAAGTCAGATGTTCTATGCTGCAATGCGTATGCAGCTCTCTTCGAGATAATCAAACACTCCAGACCAAATGCACATTTAAATCGGAATCCAAGACGAGCCCTATTTTCTGGCCTGGCAGACGACTGTTCAAGCCTCACGACACCTCCCCTATTTGAAGACTACAAGGTGCGATAGTAGACTGTTACAAAATCATTGTATTGTACCTAGTCCCTATACTTTTATTTTAGAAGCCCCTGATATCGAGGGAGATGCTGGTGCTGAGGCAACAATCTTACCGTTTATCCCGTCAGTCCTACGGTAAGTGAAGAAGGCAGGTGGGACGGTTGGTGGGGACCCTTTCTACTTCTTCGAGTTAAATATATACTTTTTAGTAAAACCGCCACCAACTGATCACACCGCGAGTCGAGACCTCAGCTAGCTGTTGGCCAACTTTAAGCACCTAACTTTGCCCCCTCCCCACCCGTTTTTTCGTCTCTTTCAGACCCGTTACCCAGTAAATCCCCTGACTCCTCTCTGCAACCACCATCACATTTAAAACCAGCAGCCTGTTTCAATTCATTACGTACATTTTCAAGGGATTCGATTATGACACTCCAACCAGTGGCAACTCAGCTTAACATGTGCCGCCATCACTATTTTTAGAATATACAAATATTGACTTGAAAAATACACGATACATATCAAAATACGAACCACAGAATTCACTCCGTTACTTACGATACACCTTGCCTTCGTCAACTGGCAAATGGCCACCCGCGGGAAGACTGGCGAAGGTACTCACACGTCAACCATATGGTGGCATGGCACCGACACTGCCGGGATCATTTCATCAGTTAACTGAGCCGCCATGGTCCCATTAAGTGTTAAAATACGACATCCATTCATCTTCGTGTTATTTAGGCTATATTAATCTTCCACTATAAATTACATGATTAATACATTAATACTATCCCCCTGGTTCGCACCTACATGTCCTAATTAACTTGCTTCCTATTAATATGTGCACAGGCTGCTGATGGACGCTGTCATAATGCTTGCTGTAAAAAGCACTCTAAGTATATTGCCTATTTAGTTGATCTAGCCTTGTCGTTGCAAATATTTCCCAAATGAAACCGTCGCCTATGAACTGACAAACCCACATTCGCTATTGAACTAGATTTTTATATTTCCATTTTGTTTATTAATTAATCAAAGCCGCCTTCATTAGGTGCTGGCGCGTTTGATATGTATGCTGCGACGCGGCTTACACGTTTATTTATTGCTTACCGGTTTTGTTTCCCAATGGCCAGAACGGTTCTGAAACACACTGCTCCGCTGCAACCTGTTGTTCATCAGTATCACCATTCATGACAGTAATATCCATTGCTGAATGATAAACTGCGCTTTGCTTACCTGATTTATACACGGAATCCCTGAAAGTATTCCTACGGGCTTAGCTTCGCCTTTGGCATGTACAAAACCACAGTGTTTAAGAACCGTTTAACTAGAGAGGGTCCTAAGGCATAATGTACCACTCTAGTGCTGTTTTTTCATCCCCCGAAGCCGCCATATGCAATAAACGTGTTGTATCCAGCGCGGCGTTGCTCTCTCTCGCTCGCTAGCTCTTTCTCTATTCTATTTCTCCTGTTCAATATCTCTATTCACGCTGATGCATGGAGGCCGTCATACTTAATGACTACTGAGCGCGATAGACCCGCACACCATTCCAATATGCCATAAATTATCACTGAATCAAGTCGTGGTCGCGCTGCTTTTCTCGATTTTTTTAGTCTCAGGCAGACGACAGATAGGATGTTTCATGGCGACGATGTCATGGCAAGATTTTATGAATTTTCTCCTACGTGTATTAAGCGATCCTTCCAAGCGCCGGGTGTAATGACGGAATGAAGTCGTGATCAAGCTTTATATCTTTATGTTCTAGCAGCGTATAAACGACAAATGGAATACCAAGAGGCTGGATTCTAAATTACAGTGGGTGGATTTTATAAAACATATACTTCGTGAGATTCTAATATAAGGTGGATGATCGTTGAATCGTGCCCAGTTTTCACGATTTTGAAGTCTTTTGCAACTGGTAGATTTTTTGTCTTGTGACGTGACCATGATTGGTGGATTGTCGTATACGTAAACGTCACTTCATCACGTCGTGATTATGTTTTTATATTGATATTCTAAATCTGGAGCAGACGACAGATGGAATGTGCGAATGTCTGGTGGCATTGTCAAAATTCATGCAATTTATGCGACTTATATCATATAAAAATCATCACTGAAAGCAGTCGCAGACGTAACATGTGCGTTTTCTCGCTATTCCATTCTTATGCAGACGACAGATGGGATTTTATTGAGTGTTTGATTTGTTCCCTGGACATGATGCGGCCCAGGTTGAAGCAGACGATCTTCAAAAAATGTCCATTTTCAATAAATTAAGACATTCACAGTCTATGCCAATCATTCATTTATTTATTTATTTATTTATCTATTTATTTACTTGCTTATTTATTCATTTATTTATCTATTTATGTATTTATTTACTTACGCAGACGACGAACGTTTTATGGATATGAATTCGAACTGCTTGTAAAATAGTCATTTTTTCTGGATTATGACGTCAAAATATGCTGATTATGAAAGCATGATCTCGTAGCATTTTCCTCAATTTAGGTATTTTGATCAGACCTAGACGTTCCATGCAATACGTGTGAAATGCTATTGAACGCAATATGGTCGATTTTGAGAAATGTTTTTCCGCTATATAACAAACGATTGGTCGTTAGTAATTAACAAATAAAAGTCAATCCAGTGTTTATCATTCGTATCTCATAACGGTACGCCTATGATTAAGTGAGTAAAATCAAGATTCCAGTTTTACGAAATAATCAATTCATATAACTGCGCTATATCTAATGATGTCATGGATTGTTGGGCGAAATAATTACCGATGGAAAGTCAGGGCCAATTTTATATGAACTTCTGCTGATCTTCAACAATCTTAGGACGCATTCAGGTTCACACATGGGTCGGTTCAACTGCTAGGGATTCTCGCTAAAGTGCTAGACATGTCAGAAAATTAAGCTGATTCCACTGATTGCACTTCGGTGGAAATCCCCCGCAGAGTTGGACCGGTCCAGCTGGTACGATGTGTGAGACTGAATGCGCTCTCAATCTGCATCTTAGGCTGTATTCCCAGACATTTAGATCGATCTATCCCCGTGGGTGTCTCACTAGATTACTGTCAGATAATCCGGCTTAAATGTCCGTCCCGCCTACTACAAGCTGTAAGGGGGTAATTAACTTTCGTGTCCGCCCGGCTGACAGCTATTTAGCGTGAACCCCCAGGGAGTTAGGTCGATCTAAAGTAGATCGATCTTATCTCTGGAAATGGGGTCTTAGTTTGGACGCGTGGTGCCCAGCTTTCGTTTTTGTGATTTCTCCACAATACATGTATCTCACCGACAAGAAGCTGGTCAAGAATGGATATTAATTAGTAAATAGTTTAAATTTACCGCCAGGACTTGGGGGGAAAAACTGACAAGAAGGGCACAAACTAGCAGCTTATCTGCAATTTTCATGGGCTGAAATGTACTGATAAATGCTATATGAAATGACTACTTTTATCAAATTTCTGTCGTTGTGCAGATGGTGCCTTATACATAATCCGTGGCTAAACATATAAACATAAGACAGATGTCGACAATCGGCGATTCATTAAATGGACCAGTTTCTTTTGAACGTAAAAAATATATGTCGCCGCATTGGGAAATTCCAAGCATTGGTGGAGACATTTGGATTTGAACGCGTCAGTTCGGCTAAACAGAATGACGTATGCTAAACATTGCATCGTTATCAACGAAAAAGGACTTCACAGTCGCGACTGACAACTGCTTTGTCATCTTTTCTTTGGATTTGTCAGATATATCATCGTCAATTAATAAAACAATTTACAGAAGCGTCACAAAACCAACCTTGTCGCAAAAAGCACACATTTTAATCCTCATCGATTGATAAAAGACGTCACGTCGGCGGTACCAAGCAATCGTTTAACCGCGTTTTATTTTCGTATAAAAGTACAAAGAAACATCACACAGAAAGTCCACGTGCAGGTTAGAAGAGAGCTTTCCAAATTATCATCTCAGACAACGAGTTTGGAGTGTTTGCATGACTGTCTAAAATAAATCATGTACATATAAATGTACAGAAATTGCGGTTTCTCCTAGACGCTTTTCCATCCTAGTTATGCAGCTGTATATTAAACATGATACCGTCTGCGAACACAGACCAGATGTCTTCAGTTCTAGTCACATTCGAGACAAAATCTGCAACGGTAGAGGTCGTAACAAGTAATTACATGTACGCTACAGAGTTCTTTCTCTGTAATAAGTTTCCACAAGTGCGCTTCCTGTTGTTTAGTTAATTAAAGTCGTTCAGGTGACACTCTTACGCAGTAACCAAGTCATTAAGTTGTCAATCTATCAAAATGTTACAGTACATCGTGTAAGGCTAAAATATCCGCTCAATGGTAAAACAGACTAATAAGACTTGAGCTAAAACTGAACAAAAGACGAACTCACAAATCGGAAGCCGACTTACTAAATTCATTAGCCGACTAGATTGCACTGGGATCCTCAATATGCCTTGGAATAGCTCTTAAATCCCAAGTTAAGAGACACGAGTTTTGGGTGACGTCAGTGCCACTATTTCTGCTATAACTTGGTCTTTGCGGTTTTGGTCACAATTTTAGGAAAACAACGCGCTAAATAAGGTCAGTGTAAATGCTTTTGTCTTGTTGGTTTTCCTTTGCTCATTGTTCAATGCAAGTCTTCAGTTTTTGTTCCGTGTAACTGAAGTGAAATATGTTTCTGTGGCTTAATTATAGGGGGCGCTCATAATTAGTATGATTGGGATAGTTGCGTTGCACTAACTTTAGGGGGGATCTCGCTGAATGCAATCAGTGTAACAGACTAGCGGGCCTCCTTTTGTTTCATATGCTCGTAAAATCACCAACTTTTCTGTATTTTATTTAACGCCAGGTGGTGTTAGTCTGATAATCTAATTGCATTCAGCAAGAGTGTCCGTGGGGTGAGTGCCTGCCACCTATTGCGATTTAACTTAGACCCTATTCCCAGAGGTTATCTCGATCCAACTAGATCGACCTAACTCCCTGGGGGTTCACGCTGAATAGCTGTTAGCCGAGCGGGCACGAAAGTTAATTACCCCCTTACAGCTTGTAGTAGGCGGGACGGACATTTAAGCCGGATTATCTGACAGTAATCTAGTGAGACTCCCCACGGGGATAGATCGATCTAAAATCTATGGGAATGCGCCCTTATATTGGACGCCCTGATATTAACAAAGACACAGGGGCATGGGTCAAAAACTACTGCGTGTAAAGGTGAAGATCTGGGGATGTTTCCCCATTCAACTTTATTGATCACCGTATCCAGAATTCTATATTTACTAAAATTTTATCCCCTACGTATTTGTATTACGCATTATAATTGTATAAAGGAAACTGCTCTCAAAATAACCATCAATAGACACAGGAAACTTCAACACAGATATAGCAGTTAACTTTCACACGTTTGCGTGTAAGATTTATAATTCTTTGCCTGCCAAAGTTATTTTTAATGCAAAGTTCATCAGACATATTATTAATTTCGAGAAAAGCCTTTGGAACAAGAAATTCTCCATTACGAAATTAATGAATATAGCGGGAGGGCAAGTTCATATTTCAGATCCAAGATTCCGGCTAATAAAAGACGAAGGGACCATTCCCAGACCCTAAGTAGATCGATCTATCTCCTTGGGGATTCTCGCTAAATTGCAATCACGCCTACTGAAGCCGCTACACAGTAATTAATTATCGTTTGGCAGCTTCAGTAGGCGTGCCGGAGATCTAAGCCCCTTAAATTGAAAGCAATTTAGCGAGAAACCCCTTGGAGATGGATCGATCCTGTTAGATCGATCTAGGTATGGGAAACCAGTCAAAGACGATGTTGCTACGGAATGGGTGGAAAATGGGGCGAAATTGACCTGGTTGTGTCTCCATTATTCAACTTGTTAAGCTGCTCGTCCAAATCAAAGGTGAGCATTCCTGCAAGCCCCCCCCCCCGCCCCGCCCCCATCTACATCAACACCCGGGCCACACACCCCCCGCCCCCTCTCCCGGCGCCCCCCCTCCCCCCTCACGATCAACCAAATATTCATCAAAGAGCATATTTTAACACAGATTCGCGGGATCATTATTTTCTGCACGCCCTGATCGCTGCTGCACAAGGTTCAGCAAATATTCTATTCTATTTTTCTACAATCGCTAATCTATCAAGAAGACCCGAGCTGACATAAGATCGATACAACTTGAACTTAAAGCGCAGCGCATGTAACATCCGATGTAGGACAAGACGCATAATATTAGACATAACATTAGACAGCGGCCTTGGTGAAGTAATCCTGGCACAGACCTAAATGAGAAATTATTCCACTTGCCACCTACCTAGGCGACGTAGCCAGGTGATAAATTTATTTATTTATTTATTTATTTATTTATTTATTTATTTATCTCTATATACCACCTTATTAATATTTATCGTTTTTTATTTACTTATTTCTTATCTTAAAACCCAATACAGCAATTCGGCGTCTACATGATTTCCTTTTCAAACAAAATCTCTCAACTATTTGATGACACAACCATTTGAATATGAAAAGCAACATGACTTTCGACCACCTGAATTAGTAGTTTTTACAAGGTGAGCAGGCGGCTACCCTCCCCAATCCGCTTATCGTCCATATAAACTAATATAAACTAATAAAGTCCTCAAATTCGTTGATACCAAGGTTTCAGGGGGTGGGTTTGTCACCCTGTTCCTAGCATGATAATTAG